GCGTTGCCACCCGACCGGACGTAGACCGTTCGTTTTGATTGCGTGTCCGGCCATAGTAAAAGGTGTCCTGGTTGTCCGAATTTTGTAAGGCTTTTTACATTTCGCAAACGAGAGTGTTCGAGCGCGTGCGACAATGCAGACAGACAAAATCCTCAATAAAGTAAAGTGCCGCCTTTCTACCCAAATGTCCGGCCAATCTGGAATGTCTGTCCGGCTAGGTTTGGCGACCTGGCAACCCTTGATCTATATCATTGTCTGAATGAACACTTAACATACTAAAGAAGTTTTTTTTAATTCCGTGCAGACGTAGTCGCGAGTGATACCTAGTTTAAAATATTCATGGCTTTCGTAGGCATACGGTTGGGGAATGATTTTTCGTATCGGAATGGTAATTAAACATGAAGTGTTGTATCATTAAAATATGCTTTCAACATATTTCGCATTCCGTTTTACTGAAATCAACATGAATATTGTATGATAATATTATGATGATGGCTGAAAGCTATAAATTTGTCTAGTGTTCGCATCTGCCTTGTTAAATTGACAACACGGCGTCGGCTTAATAATCCATTTACATTCTGACGTACGTAAAATTAACAAAACATGTTTATAATTCATGCTTATTATGTGAATCATATTATTATAGTAAGCTTCCACTACCTAAAATCATGTATAACATCGTATTGACATGAATCTTATTCTAATTGAAAAAAAAAAACAAAGAAAAAATGTTTTTGTACATGTATTATTTCGTCGTGGAAACGCACTGTAATTCTAGTTACTCCAGCCTAAAACGAATTAACTATCAAAAAACAAACAACTTTATTATTTGGTAAAAACATCCTGGTAGTACGAGTAGAACCTGGATCAGGGAGGCAAAAATCACATTCTCTTTGCCTCTTGCTTTTTTATTACTAGAGTTTTTATAATAAATTATTCCTTAACCTATTTAACAGTATTGATACACTGCCACATTGGAAACAAATATGAATCAATGAAGTTAAAAATGGCATGAATATTCCTATCTCTGTTCTTTTAATTAAAATAACAAGGATGCCTATATTTTGTAACAAAAGACTGTGTAAGACGCAAAATAATCGAGTCATAGAAACCATTCGTCATTAAAATACATAGTCAATTCTCTATACAAAAATGTCTGACAAAATAAACACTTATAAAAGATTCGTATTCAGAAAGACACTCCGATGATATCAACCATGTTTTATTACCTTTAAGTATTTGTATGCAAAAAACTATTTAATTTATTCACAATTCATTGTCCCTTTAGTAATCAGTACGAATAAATTGTCTACCATGTTTATGTCTAACCGTTGGTTTCTGAGACCAAAACCTCTGTATTAAACATATCGTCATCTCTCTCTTTATCTTTGACAAAACAGAGACAAAAATGTGTTTTAAACGCAGATTTTGGTGTCAGCAATTTAAATAAAAAATTTAGTATACAGTAGTTAAGTCTTTATATGCTACTTAACAGGTAAAAACCTGCGACTCTGTCCGATCGGAATTAAAAAAAGCTCAGTAAGTAAGTATCCTATGTGTTCTTCCAGACTATGCTCTACATTTATGCCAAATTACAGTGATATCCCTGCAGCCATTCTGGAGATACCTTCCAACAAACATTCATTCAAACATTCGCATTTATAATATTAGTAAGATAGGTAATATAAATTAAAGAACTTAACGTTGTCCAAAAATAATATTAACACGTTAGCTGCCATGTCGGACTATATGTCCGACAAATTGTAAATATGTAAATAATAAGTATATATGACCAATGTTAATAAGGTATTATTATATTTTTAGGTGCTTTCAAATGGTTTTGAACAAAAATTTTCGATTTTTTTTTTCGTTTTTCGAAAAATCATTCTGGCAGCTAACGTGTTAAATTATGTTCTTCAAGTAAGTGGGTGTCATCGGAAAGTGACAAAGGGCAATCAGGATGAAGCTAAGGGCGTGAAATCGCAGTAGCCACGCTGACAATACCGAGCCGCTTTTTATAAGCCTGTAGACAGCGGTATTATTTTGTTTTTTTCTCGAAGCGATCGCCCGGTAGCCTTTGTAAGTCGACACCACGATATCGTTTCGAATTATCACCCGTCACCGACTCGAGTTTGCGATGAGGTCAAAGTACAGTTTTCTTTGAAATGATTTTTAGGTGACTTTGTGATCGTGTACTTTACAAATTTTGTTTACTCTAAGATGCATTGAATATGTTGTGGTACATTTAGAGATTAGGATTTTAGATTAAAATAAATTAAAATTTACATATATATATATATATGTAAATTTATTTCTAATAATCTCATTAGAGTTATGTCTAAAGCAAAATTCCCATACTTGGATAAAACGACGGCTAACATCACGTTGGTGACTACTAGCGCCATCTATTGACAAAATATTAACCCTTTAATATTATTTTCAAAGTTGTAACTCGTTAGTCACGTAAATAAAATGTCGTAAGCTTAAGTCTTTTTTATTTCGTCTTTCCTTTTTTTTTCAAACAACATTACTTTTCTGACCTATAAAACTGGTAACATATCTGTAACGAGGTTTAATGTGCTTGTATCGAAAGGTTAACTTTGTTTACATATATATGAACTTTTATTTTTCTTAAATAAATAAACTTAATAAAATCTTTCTTGTAGTATAAGATTTGATATCAGTGTTATAAAAGTCGTGAGTGCCTTATAATTGTTATATTTTTACTTCGCTTACTCATCATTACGGCGACCTACTTTCCAGTGAGCGTCGCGCCGAGCAAGTTTGAACTTGAACAAGGTTCATATCAATTCGAATACAACCCTTTTTTAATACAGTAGAACCCGCTTAATGTACAGGGTGACCTAAACTGTAGATAGGACGGACGCAATATTTGTAAGCAAAACAATGCAATGATTATTATGATTTAATATTACAAGTCAATTCGTAGTCTTTACAAATTTTCACTGTACTTTGATTTAATAAAATTTAGTTATAAATAATATAATGTATAAATTTGTATTTCATAGATTCTTACTAATATTAAAAAGCAAATGTTTGGTGGCAAAGGTGGCTCAGTGGTCAAGCACTTGACTTGCAATCTGCAGGTCCTGGGTTCGAATCCCGCCATGTACCAATGTGTTTTTCGATTTCCGATCTACATATGTACATTTATCCGACGTTCTTACGGTGAAGGAAAACATCGTGATGCAACCTGCACATATCTAAGAAGAAATTCAAATATATGTGTGAATTCAACCAACCCGCACTTGGCCAGCGTGGTGGACTATGGCCTAATCACCCTTAACTTAGGGTAGGCTCCGAGCCCCTCGGTGGGGACGTATAGTGAGCTGATGATGAAAAAAAAAATATGTTTGGATGAACGGCTGTATAAATCACGCTGAAATTTGGCATAGATGTAGGCAGCTTGGATGAAGAAATATAAATCTAGCTATATTCGGAAATGCACTTTAAATTAAGTATGTAGTCAGTAAAATTTTATAGCTTGTCATTTAAAATCACTAATTCCTAAAATATTATAGCAGAATTATAAATTACTAAGGTTGGAATTAAGCGCATAGCTTTATTACTAGAGTCAGTAATAATAGATTAGAATTTCATGAGAAGATAACTTAATTGCAACTTAAGGCCAAGTTATAATTAAGTAATCCACTATTATCTGGTTCATAATAAATGAAATAGACTAGCTAATACAGCTATTTGATTAGAGAAATTTTATATGTAACTTAATTATTACTTAATAAGTTAGCTTATATTTACACGCTACAACAATATTTCTATATAATTCTGGATTGAATACGAATAGATCTGGTATTTAATTAAGAGCGAAGTTAAAAAAACAGTTGATAACTTAATTGTAACTTAACAAAGAAGTTATACTGAAAAATATAGTAAGTCGGTTTTGGTCCTTGTGTTTCTTTGCATGTTGAAAACAATTAACTTATTGTGTGTAATTAAAAATAAGGTGGTCTAAGTTGTTTAAGTTGTGATATTTATTTCTTTTAATTTTCTTAAGTGTATACTTACTAATATTTCCTGAAAAGCATAAAATTTTCATCCGTCATACCTGGTGCCTGAAAAAGTTATTCCCTTTTGACATATGAATAACGGAAAACTAACTTATATTTATGACAAATATAAATATTTATTTAAGAGTAAACGCCGATACCAATTACTGCATAAATTAACCGACAATCGTTAAAATTATTTTAGTACGATATTGCTAAACAATTTTACAGCCCGTATTTAATGTCTAAACAAAGCTTTCCACTCGGCCCTAAAAGTCGATAAACCCAAAAGAACACATTTAACTTGCACAAAACGCTAACGGCGAAACCGCGCGCAATAAAATACTTTTTATACGTGAACGCAATCTATTACCAAATCACCGCAATAAACCACACGCCTCCGATGCAGTAACGTCTGATTTTAATGCTAAAACCAGCTCACTAAGTTAACTGCCTGTTAGAACTAAACGTAATTTCACGTGCGCGTATCCAAACAAAGAGTTACGTCGTTGTATTACGCGAAATACTTAAGTAATGCCGCCTCGCAGGTCCAAAACCGAGTGAACGCTTTCCGTTTAACAACCCCATGCGACGTTCTTACGTCACCTCACCCCATACTAAATTCGCTACCCGATTGGCCAATTTACTTTGCCGCGCTTTCTCATACCGAAGTAAGAGTTTGGGGAATCTCTTCTTCTCTTTTTTTAAATGCTTTTCAACAATGCATCAGAAGAGGAAAGAGTATATTTTCATACGCTCCCTTTCATAATGATGTAACCTGTTTAAAACAGGATGGATAATGTGATCGAGTATAAGATAGAATGAGACGGGGCAGTGTGCCGTTGATTGTAGTAGTGGAGTGCGAAGGGAACGTGCTACCGTGCGTTCAACTATTTATAATCAAATGGGGCGCGCGTGTGTGCGAGTGTTCATACGTTATGCACCGCGCGCACACACGCACAGACCTCGGAGCGAGGCAATGATGTGCACGAAGTATTATCCCTTATTACACGTTTCGCTTCCGCGCCGGCCGCACGTACGATTGTGAGCCGACCCGCTTTCGAGTTGTGCGAAGTTTCAGTTTGTTTACATCGAATCCGCTACGATGCATACTGCGTTAGCGATTGTGTCATCGACCGTACGTTTATCGCTGGCCTGCGAGTGATTCACGGACAATGCTCGCCTTGGAGTTTTTTGCGCCGAAACTTTTTGTGAACTTGTGAACTCTCAGCGATCAGAAATTAAGATATCGTTCGCGACGAAACTGTGACGAGTCTGGACTTAGATACAAGTGCCATTTTTGTGTCAAAGTGAATTCAAGGAGAGGACGAAGAAAATATTTCCTGACATTTTGATAGACTATTTTTCGAAGAGAACTTTTTAAAGTGCTGTTGGAAAATTTTGATCATAAACTTTGCCAAATTCTTGAAATTCGTATTCTTTTAAAATTAAAAATAAAACTACATCGACTAACAGAGAAGACCGCAAAGATCGAGTGCGTAGATCGGAGTCATCAATTTATGCATACAAAACAAACGACAATCAGTCGCAGCTTGTTTCCTAGAAAAAGAAGTTTTGAGAGACAAAGATGGCAATAGCATTCAACCTGCCGAGCGAGAGAGAGGCGACAGAGGAGAACTTCTCGCGACTGAACCGGCTCCTAGCCGAGCTGTACGAGGTTCTTTGCCACATCTTGGTCGCACGACAGCCTGGCCAAGAAGTCCAGGAGAATCGGCGAGGTGAGTGCCCGCGGGAGCCTAACATACCACCTTACCACTTAAGATGCAATTCGACCTACATCGTGAACCTGGTTATGGTTGTCGCCATCCTAAAAGTGTCTCTCGCGTCGTCTCTCTTCAACACGATAAGATAAAAAAAAGAAGATTGTTTCTAGATAAGTATTGTTAACGTCGAAACTGCTAAGCAGATCCTGGGCTATTGTTACATATTTTTAAGTCCATCCAGTTTTGTATATTTTCAAACATTGTCCGGATGAGATGTTGTGTCAAACTGCACTTAAATTGTAAATGGTGGTTAAATCGAATTGAAAATTATTTACCGAATAATCAATTCAAATCGATTTGTTTTTTGCGATTCTAACAAATGCGTTCGCTTTAACGGATTCTTGCTTTTTGATTTTAAATTTGAGTGAAGTTCGACAAAACGCCACATTCACTTTAACGAATATTTTTTACGCATTATTATAAAATTTAAAAATGGAATTACGATCATTTTTTCCTTATAATTTACAACTTTAATGTCGTATCTTACTTACTGACCAGTACTGATAAAATTCTTATATGTTTAGCATTCACAATTTTAGTGTTGTTAAGTTTAAATATTTAGTTACGTTTCCATTTGATCTCCTATTTTGTTTAATTTATTACAATTATTCGAATTAGATTTATCTTAACTGGTAGCATTTATTTAATTTACTTATCATGGAACAATTAAGTATGGATCTCAAATTATATTTTAGTTCCAAATATCGATAGTCATAATTCTTTTTTATAAAATCAATTTTTTTAGACGCCAAATATTAGTTAAATGTATTACAAAATCTTAATATTTTTATTCTATGGACGATAAAAATACGTTTTGCATTTGTTATCTGTAACGAAAAAAAACATCATTTAGCAAACTGTAAATAATAGTGATGTGTAATTTGTTTTTTCAATTTTGTTCTGTTGTCGATAAAATGTAAAAAATATCGATAAAAAAAATGTTTCCTAATTTGTATAAACCGATAATTATATAATTATTTGAAAGTAGATCTAACTTTTTTATCGTGTAAATATTGCATTTAGATGTTTGTGATTTTTGCCTTATAAGCATACTTTAAACTTTTTCCCTTATTATAATTTACAATTGCATATAAGTGTATCATGTAATCGATTAATAAACTGGATTGTGTTTAACTTTCCCGATCATTATATGGGAACATTGTGAAATAAATTTATTATTTCATGAAATAAAAAATGCATTTTTCTTAAAACTAAAAAAAATCCCAACTCGTCGTAATCGACTAGATTTTTTTTTCATAAAAAAAAATGTCAGTTAATCCTTTCTAATTTAATTCTAATTTTAATATTCATTGCATAAAATCAGCGTAGCCAAGACACAATCAACTTCAGAATAATCGCATCGATCAAATCAAAAATGGGCCATACGCCGTTTGCTAATATTAGAATCTCGACCCGTTTGCCTCACTATGAACTTGTTGTAACATGTTCCGATTGAAACAATGGATTCAAAAGGTTTTATAGCGCGTGAATTAAAGGGTGTTCTTTTATTTAAAAAACAAGCTTTTGTTACAGTGTGCTACATAAAAAAATCATAAAAAATGTTCAATTTAAAAATATTAAACATTACAAAAATAAGTAATTGAAATTAAAATGTGTGTAAATAAAACAAAAGCTGCAGTGAAATTACATTATAAAAAGTTATTATGCTAAAAGTTTACTGGAATGTACTTTGTTTTCTAGTAAGACAAATAATAGATGAAAAAATCTTACAAAAAATTCTTTTTCAAATATCTTATTATATAAGCTTTTATAAGTTATAAAAAATTTCCTTTTAAGTAAACAGAATAAAATATAAAGGCATGAACCTTTTTGAACTTGATACTTTAAAGTTCGTCCAAATCGTGCTCTTTGTCACGACCTTTCTTATAAGACGGGAATCGAAAGTGACAACTAAGTTACAACTTAAAGTTAACTTGTGGCGTTTTCAGTTAAGATTAACGCCAATATAAAGTTAATATTTAAGCATTTATTACGTCGACTTAATTCCATTATTTACTATTAGTATAATAGGTAAATAAGTAAAATATATAACTAAAAACGAATAACTATTGTTATAATAATTTTGAGATTTTCACACAAAAACCAAACAATTTTTCTAAGTACACAATTAATTTAAATAACTTTTAACATAAGCAAATTCATGTAAAAAAAATAGGCGAATTTAAAAATCAAAAATAAGTTTTTTTTACTTAACTTTTTATACAATTTTACCAATAAAAGATATAAACGACATTTACTTAAAAACATTAAGTTTTAAAAGTTAAGGTATGGAAATAAATGTTGAAGGTTATGAAAATTAATCCAATTTTGCTTATGAACTTCATGAATTTAAAATCAAAAAGCAAAACTAATTCATATTATTTTAAGTTACGTCATTTTTTTTAAATTTAATATAGGTCTTCGTACTATTCAACAAAAGGTAAGTTACGCTTTTATTGTGTTGCACCGATACAAATCGAGACGCTTGAATAATTTTCAAGAAGATATATATATTTTTTGTTTAATGTCAAAATGAAATCGATTTTAAATTCGGTTTAAACTTTCTTAAATTTTAATTAATCTATGGTTTTTATTAAGACAAACATTAATTACTTCAAAAATTAAGGCTACTGATCACATGAAAACTAACATAACTTATTTATGTGAGTTAAATATAATATAGAGTACTTAACTTATTAGACAAGACTCAGAGAGAAAAAACAAGAGTATCGGACTTAGTATTTCATTTGGCACGTCAGAAAGAAGAGTTCTCTTCAGCCCAATGTGCCAATTCACATGTCCAGTAAATATATCTACGTCACATCTAAGGTCATTGTCCTTACAGGGTCAAAACTACTTATACGACAGCTGCTGTTTCTACCACTAATTGTATACCTTGAACTTTACTAGAACATGACTAAGTTTTTATAAAGATAACTAAAAAGTTGAACATCTACAATATAACAATGTTAGTGCTCACTTAATAACAAATAAATTTATAAACAACAAAGCGAATTAAAACAAAACAACAACCTAAATATTAAAAAAAAATTTTAGTTTCGCATTCATCAAATAATAGTTTGGCTAATTTAAACTTATTTACATCATAGATTTGTTCATTTATACGTTACTAGATGTCGCTCACGACTCCGTCGGGGTTGAATTAAATAAAAACTTAATAAGTAGTCTATGTGTTCTTCCAGGCTATGTTCTACATCTGTGTCAAATTTCATAAAGATATCTTCTAACAGACATCCATCCATCTATACTTTCGCTAGTAAAATTTTAAGTTTTAGTAAGTTTTTTGGCAATCTTTAAATCTGCGATATGCCAACACATTACCTGCTACACTAATTCTATAAGTTTTAAACGTGTACTCTAGTACAAATCTAAATTTAACATACAATCTAATTAGTAAGCAAGGCATGCAGAGTGCTACAATATCATCTTATTTCCAAACGATAAACCACATTAGTGTACGTCGTTAAATTATTGTCCAGTCAGTATGTTAATTTCAGTTTATTTATGCATCCAATTAACACGTTAACCGGCCAACTTGTCCATTGCGGTCCATAACACTCTCTTTAACTTCATGTATAACAAAGAGTTATGACAGTTTACTGTTGAGTAGCATAAGTTCTTGAACGTTATATGTTAAAGACTAGCTGTCGCCCGCGACTCCGTTCGTGCGGAGTGAATAATAAAATTAGTAGCCATAGCGCTATGAATATACCTTCAAACATCTATCTAAACATTCGCATTTATAATATTAGTAAAAAGTAAAATTAAGCGTAAAAATAGTCCCATATTATAAAGAGTTTCACGCTTTTTCAACAAATTTTTAAACATTTTTTGACCCACTAGCTATCGCTCGCGATTCCGTCTACGCAGAATTAAAAAATAATTAGTAAGTAAGCTATTTCTTCTTCCAGAATATGTTTTACATGCCAAGTTTCATTTAAGATCCATTGAGCCGTTCCGGAGATACCTTTAAATAAACATCCATCCAAAAATTCGGATTTATAATATTAGTAGATATTCAATGATTATTACTAAAAATAAAGTCGCTTAATACTTACATTTTCATTTTACTCTTTACAATACACATACTGAATAAAACTGTTAGACGTTTTTTTATCTCAACTAACTGCTCCATACAGAGAATTAATATGGTAGGGGGATGTAATGTATTCCACAGGTGTTGTCCCAAACAGGTGCTCGGGTTCCCTCTTTTTTTTTGTCAGGTCCAGACATGTTCAATAGAAGTTTGAGTTCGCTTGTTCCCCGATTTGGTGTATTTTGCTTGTTTTTTTTTCTTTCCCCGTAGCTCGGAATGAATATTTTCTGCCAGTTTTAAATTTAAAACAGTTTAATTACCGTGTAGGTTTCATTAGGCTTGCATAAAACTTCATTAGTGCTAAATTTAAGACGAAAATGCCACGCACATCAAAAAGTCCCGTCGAAATCGATCCAGCCGTTTCGAAGATTACCAGTAACAAATGCGGATTTGTAGATAGACTGACAAAACTGTGCATTTTCGCTATCAGCGTATAAATATCATGTTCAAAACATAGGACTTTTTATAATGTTTTTTCGTTAATACATACAGACACACCAATTTAATCAATAATATAAGTGAACATTTCATCGTTAGAGCCTTTTGCCAAACAGTCAACAATGTAGATTATAAGCAACGCACCATGTTCACAAAACATGTTCTTTTTCCGATATTATTCAAGCGGACTGTCTGAATTTTATTAACTCTGTAATAGTACATAGCATTTTACGACTAGTTGTAAATTCATTACTACAGACCAGTGCGTAAACGCATGCGTATTAAAATGTCAAGGATGTGTTCGCATTGGGTTGCAAGTCTACGCTCTATAGGTCAATGTGTCAGATACGATTGTGTAGCATAAATGCATGTTGATTTACTCCACTAGTAGCAAACAAAT